AAAAAAAAAAAAAAAATATATATATATATATATATATATAGTGGAATCTTTGCAAGTTGACTCCTCAAGAGACTGTAACAGACTGGTCATACGGAGGTGGTCAACAAAAGGGACTGGGCTTACTGTACTGATAGGTACATGTGGTACATGTTTGGTCTATGAAAATTAGGTCACCTTAGGTAGGTGGTCAGTGTAAGGAGGTAATTAACTATGGAGATTCTCTTGTGTGTATCACTAGCTGTTCTTAGAAAGAATATGTGTACTTTACTGTGTCCGATTATATAAGAATAACAACCCTGTTTTTACAACCTAGATACCTTGTGGGCCAACGCCTCGTGAACTATGAACGGAAATCTGGCAAGCAAGGCCCATCTCCTCCACCTCCACAGTCGTCCCAAGAATAAAGTGGTTGTCTCAACTTCTTGACCTTCCCCTTGCCTTTACGTGTCCTTTTTTGTGGACTTCTCTCTTTGGAGATTTTTCCAGTGATCTCTCAGCATTGTTTTTAAGTTAAATGTATTTGACTTGTGTTCTCGGCATTAAGAGCGCAGCGATGTAAGGCTCTGCTACTCTTCCTTGCATCTTCTGACATCACTGCTGTCTGAGATCTGTATATGTGTAAATAGAAGTTCCTTGATCCCCTAAAACCTTGGATTAAACAGAATGTGCATTGTACATCTTTAAACAAAATGTATATTAATTTATTAAATCTAGTTGTCACTTTATTTTGGACCTGCTGTGATCTCGACAGGAAACATGCCACAGAGCAGTAGTGCACAGCAAGACTTTGCAGTGCTGTCTTGTGGAGTGCAGTTGCTGGTATTCTCACTGAGGCAACTGTACACTCTGTCTTGGCTGTTCAGACCTTACCACGAACTCAAAAGGAAACCAGTAGAAATCAGCAGTGGAGTGCCTGTGGTAAGAAAACATGAACTTTGTGCTTCACTGTCAGTTGTTTTTGGAAGTTCTTTTGTATAACACCAAAGCTGTTGTACATTTTCTACTGCCTGGTTTTTTTCATGTGTCTGTGTTTGTAATATTGTATAGTATCTTGTGCTAGGTGAGGAGATTACTTTTAATTTTGATAATTTAATATTCTTAAGTGGTCATCATTGGGCGTTGGGCTTCTGTGCTTGTTAGGGGCATGTCTGCACTTAGAAAAAAATGAAAAAGTCAAAATGAGGTTTTTTCTTAGCCCCCTACCCCGCCACAGCTATCTCTTTGTTTTTGGTAGCAGTGGCCAAAAGTCATGCAGGGTTTATAAACCTTGCAGAATAATGTCACCAACCATACTACATCATACCAGAATTAGGACATTTTGAGATGTTTGTAAAGTGTAGCTGTGGTTGTGGTTCTTGACAGCGTTAGGAAAGACTGGTTAGAACATCTAATCTTGCTAGTTAGTGTATCACTGGGTAAACATTAGGAAGTACCTTTCTCCTACTTTTTCATCAGTAAATCCCAAAGTTTCCAAAGCTTTTCGTTTACAGAATAAAACTACAAATAAAACCAACTTCATTTTATTTGCCCAGAAGGAAGCTGGCTTTGCTGGCCTTTTAACATAGGAATGTATTTTATTGGAAATGTGCTGTAAAATCTCAGAGAACTGAACACTTACAAACTTGGGTTTCCCTTATAACCAAAGCTTCACGTTAGAAGTTTAGAGAAATAGAGTGGTTGGACACATGATCCAAATATTTAATGGTAATGGTATATTGTAAGGATAGTGTTTGGTTTTGAATGATACTTTAGAAGTTCTCATAGAAAGTGTACAACATAGGTCTTTAGAAACTATACAAGAGTTTTCACATAGTATTAAAATTAAAATCCTTAGACTAAAATCTGAGGATTTTTAAAATATGAAAGTTGGCCAAATATAAGCTACTAAAATCAAGAGCAACATGTTCTGGTGGTTTAATACGTCAACATTTTTTTTCCCTAAGTAGTAAGCAACTGCTTTAAAAATATATTTTAAAAAAACAGTATCAAAAAAAATGCCGACAATAGGATTCAGTGTTACACTATTTGGCACTTTGTAGTAGCCCTTTCTCTCGTATTTGAAGTAAGATCTTTGCTAACCCTACCTCTACGCAGAAATCTAGTCCTACTGTAAAAAATTGGGAGTATTTTAAAATGTAATGCCACCTGTCATGGTGTGTTTCTATATACATTGTTCTCTTTGGGAGAAGAATATTGAATTGGACGTGGAATTAATTGTATTAATTTGGGTTCTTTTTAATTTTTGAAAGTTTGTAGATGTTTATATAAAGTCATTGGAACCATCTGTTTTAAGAGAAAGAGATCTAGGCAGATACTACAAAAGGTTAAAGACTCTTAATCTTGCAGAATTTTATGAATCTTATCAAATGTTTTGTAAGAAAACAAATCCAATAGGAATGGCAAAAAAATTGCCCTCTGTTTCACTGGCAGATAATTTATACTGTCTTACTTAACAGTCCCATGCCAGTGGAGGGGAGGTGTCAGAGACATGTTTATCCCTGACACCCTCCCTCCACTGGCACATGACTTTAAGAATTCCCCTCTAGTTTTTCAATTGTGCTTTGTCCTGTTGTTTTCAATAAGATAAATGTTTTCATAAGGAAAGCATTTTCTGGCAAAGTATTTGCTTGGGTAGCATCCAAGTTTTATTATTAACCAATAGTCTTTAAAATATTTAAAACTCCTAGTTCAGAAAGTGCTAGTATTGCTGCCCTTCTTCACATAGACTTTAAAAAAAAAAAAATCATAGTGTAGTTTTGTTTCATTTTACATTTTGAGTAAAACAATCTTCAAGAAAGTTTGCTAGGAAAGAAGACCTTTTTGCTTTATTTTTATTATTTATAAATTGAAGACAAATCAGCATTTGGGGTTAGTTTTACATGACCACTTATCAAATGGTCATAGTATGAAGTGTGCAGTTGTTCATTATTAGAAAATTATGTTTGATTTTTAAACTATTAAGTACTAATAGTTGAGATGAGGACTGAAGAAAAAATGCCAATGTGAAGTTTGTGTGTAGCTAGCCTTAAAAAAGCTCCATTTTTTTTAGGTGATTTTTTTCCCCCCTGTTCTCTGGAGAAACAATGGAGATGGGACATCTCAGTTCCAGATGTAAACAAAAATTAATTTTTATTTCAGCGTTTAATATACATGTTATTACTATGGATTCTTGTCTTGTGTTCTTTCTTTCCTGTATTCAAGTAATAGAGAATAGTTTTCTTTCAGATTATTTGATCTTAGATATGTCATTTATGTATTGACAAAATGCTATTAAAGTGTAATTCTTGAATTTAGGTTTAATTGATGATGATTTTTTTAAACAAAACAAAAAAGGAACACTGGACCTTTCTACCTTGTACTGCGTTTGCCACCATGCATGCAGGTGTGCGTGCACTCATACAGAAAGTGGTGCCAGTCTGAACACTGGCACTTTTTAAAACTTTGCAAAGTCACTTATTTTCATTTTCAGGATTCAATATTTTAAGCTCTTTACTTACTGTGAACAATTTTTTACATTGTAAAATTAAAATATTATGTTTAAAATATTCTTTTAGAATGTTAATTATTCAGTCATCAAGAGAAAACAATACTAAAATGTCTTACCACTAAAGTATTATTAAAAGCCTCATTCATGGCAATACTCTAACTTCGTTGGTTTAACTGTCTGAATTTACCTATTTAATTTGCCCCTCAATCAGATGTTTTCTTTTTGGCCTATTACTACCCTGTGGCATTTTTTAAAAATAGCCATCATTAGTAAGGGCTTCTTCTAAATAATCCCTGACAATGTCTTTGGCATTAATATAACATAAAGATAAGACAGTATATATGTTTTCATTCCTGTCTATTTTGTACGAGTGCCTCATTTTGTAGTCATGAAAGTAACATAATACCTTAAATGAAAATGTAATGACTAAGGCCTAGGGATAACTGTTGTAGAAACTAAATAGAACACTTCGTTATTTGGGATGTCAGTTTTCTATTAAACACTGTAGATACCCAGACCTGTTTTATGTGTATATATTCTAAAGTGCTCCCTTTTTTTATGTGGTTGTTTATTGCCTTTTAAGTTGAGAGAACGAAATTGAATAAAGTGAATGTTAGTTGTAGCCTAGTTTTTTGGTTTGTTTTTGCTTTGTTGCAAGATTGCTTTAAAATTACAGAAATGTACATTATTAGTGTAGTAGGTAATCCAGATATTTAAAAAAAAATAATTAGGTAAGAAAGATAATTATGTTAAATGTGATTATATCCCCTCCTTTTTTTTAAAATTTTGAGACAGAGCCTCAAGCTGTCACCCTGGGTAGAATGCTGTGGCATCACAGCTCACAGCAACTTGCAACTCCTGGGCTCAAGCAATTCTTCTGCCTCCGCCTCTCAAGTAGCTGGGACTACAAGCGGCCGCTACAATGCCCAGCTATTTTTTGGTTGCGTCTGTCATTGTTGTTTGGTGGGTCCAGGCTGGATTCAAACCCGCCAGCTCAGGTGTATGTGGCTGGCGCCTTAGCTGCTTCAGCCAAAGGTGCCCAACCTATCTCCTCCCTTTTATTTGGATTTTAAAAGTGTAGTTACAGAGGACACATCCCTCCTTCCTGTCTCCCCAACTTTAATTGTACATCATCTTCACTGGGAAGAGCAGAAGCCCCTCATCTTGTGCCCACTTCTCCACCTCCGCTGCAACATCAGAAAGTAAGAGCTTCACTTGTCTCTTTTTGATGGATACTTTGATAGTGTAAAACAGATGAAATCTATTTTACATAGTTGACTATATGTCCCAGAAGAAAAGGAAGAATTACATGATGGATTTTTGTTTTCCTCTAATTACCCTGTGAAGAAATACTTTAGCTTTAGAGACTTTCTAATTTTTCTTTCTTTTTAGGTTCAGAATTTTTTCTATGAGTTTTTTTTTCTCCCTGTCAATTACAATTTTATTTATTTTAAATGCAGGAGTGGTGGGGGAACTGTTGTTTTAACCATAGACATTTTTAATTTTTTAAGTTGAAATATTTCAGCAAAGAAAATTATGTAAAGTTTAGACTGGTCTATAGTTCCCCCTCTTTTACCCTGTAGTTTGCAGCCATTGCTTTTTTTTTTTTTTTTTTTTTTTTAAATCTTCATTTTTATTTTTTTGAGAGAGTCTCTTTCTGTTGCCCCCGGTTAGAGTATTATGGCATCATCACTCACGGCATCCTCAGACTCCTGGGCTCAAGCGATCCTCCTATTAAAAGGAACAAAATAGGGAGTTTATTAAGTATGTGAGTAATAAATACAACAGAATACTATGAGGAATCGTAAATCATGGTGCAGAAGCGTATTTGATAACATCAGAAATTGTGCTTTATTTATTTATTCTTTTTAGTTTGCAGACACTTTGAGACAGTTTCACTTCACCACCTGAGGTAGAGTGCCCTGGTATCATAGTTCACAGCAACCTCAAACTCTTTTTTTTTTTTTTTTTTT